TATGCAACAAGATGGCAAGGCGAAATCTAGAAGAGCAAAGCTGAACAAGAACCGCAGTATCTGACGGTTCCCTTTCCGTATACTCCGGTCACCGGTCCCTGACTGATGCGTGAAAAAATGAGTCGTAACTTGGTCGTGCAAAGCGCTGACCCTGCCTGCGCTAGCGAGATATCAGAATCTTGGGTATATGGATCGTGGCGTGGCTGAGGAAGACGTTTAGATGATCTTCCAGTTGACGCCGTGGTAGCGGGTAGTCTCAGACAGGCCAAGCTCAGACCAGACAGAGCGGGAGAGATCGATGTCGTACTTGTTGACGCAGCCAGGGCACATGTCCATGATCTTGGCTGTGGCAGTCTTGCCTTGGTACTCAATCTCGATTTGCTTTCCGCACCATGGGTTGGAAGACTCGCCGGTCATGACGTCGTGGATGCTTCCGCCCATGGCGTTCCAGGCACCGATGCTGATGGCGACGACCTTGGAATCATCGGTCTGGAGCTTACCGCAAGCACCGAGGTCGCCAACGTTCATGTCGTAGACGGTAATCTCGACATCGTCGAAAGATTCACCAGAAGTTACGCCACCAGAAGAGCCGTAGCTGGGGGCAGCGCTTGAGGGAGCAGGAGCAGGAGCTTGAGAGTAGACGGGCTCGGGGGCTGCGGTAGTGGTTGGCTCAGGCGCAGGTGGAGGCGCGACGTAAGAGGAGACTGGGGCAGGAGCAGGAGTGGTGGGAGCAGGAGGAGTGTAGACGGAAGTAGGGGTCTCCACAGGAGGAGTGTAGACGCTGGAGGGCTTCTCGGGAACAACTGGAGTGTAGGCTGGGGGGGCAGCCTTGGAGGAGGTGGGGGCGGCCTTGGTAGGAGCAGCCTGAGGAGTGACCACAGCAGAAGACGAGGGCACGACTACAGTGCTGGTGGTGGAAGGCTTGCTGGGCTGCTCGTAGAATTCGCCAGCGCTGGTGGTAGTGGGCTGAGCGGTGGTCTCGTCGTCCCAGACGGTGGTGTAGACAACGACGGTCTCAGTGACGACCTCGGTCTTGTAGACAAGGGCGCGTCTGTCGAAAGGCGCAGCCACGGCGTAGGAGCCGAAAAGGATAGAAGCGAGGACAGCGGATGTCTTCATTTTGACGGTTGGTAGTGTTGGATAGCTGAAGGAATGGTGCTATAGGTGTTTGTTTGGGATTTGCAGGAGTGACAGAACCGACTAGCAGTTCGAATGAGTGGTATTGTGAGTTGTCGCGTTGACAATGTATTGTGTCAGGAATGACAGTGTTGAAGACAGAATGTCTGTAGGGAGTGAATGAATGAACAAGAAGACCTCGAGCCTGTAGAATGAGTGTTACAGGAGGGAGGGAGCAGGTTGAAATATAGAAAGAGTGTGTGGGTGATGGTGTGGGTTAGTGAGTGAAGGAAAGGTGGGCAGAGTGGATTCCCACGAGCTTTTACGCTAGGGCCGGCACTAGGCCGGCCCCTGGCAACGTGCCTGGTGCCATCGCTTGTGCATCGCATCCTCCGCTCACCACGACGCATCTAGCCTGCTTCTGTCATCGGGGGGCCTGCCACTCCGGGCCGGCTGCTGGTGGAACGGCGTGCCATGGCGGCCTCAACAACACCGCAGACAAGCTCGAGTCGTCGCCCCACTACCACGCTCATTCGCCCATGGCCGTCGCTCGCTCGAAATTGTCGGCGCTCATCTCCACCGCAACGAACTCCAGTCTTCCTTTTCCTTGTGTTCATGTGCATGCGCTTGCCAAGGGCCCTCCCACCTCTATCGATTGCCTTCTTTTTCCTTACACTGACAGTGCGCTGGTTTCCAGCTAAATATGGCCAAGCTCAAAATATCGCAAGCTGACGGGTTTCATGCTTCCGCAAGTGGCATGGCGACGGACACAGTCAGCCAATCACAACGCTGTGCCTGACGATCACTGCATCGCGGAGCTCTTCGCGCCCTCTTCCGCCAGGGGCATGGCTGGAGCTGAAGCCGGTAAACGAAACATCCCAGGCACAGCGTGTCTGCGCCTCGTTCGGGCACATGTCATCATCGCAGATGAGGCACCGACCGCTTTGACTGAACCTGCCTTGGGGAAATGCTACACACGTGTATCGCAAGGAGTCGCGCCATGTCTCCCTGGACTGACAGCAGATGGGCTAGAACGCAGAAGCGGTATGGCGACGGCGGCGCGTGGCTATGTGGACACGCTCTCGTTATTCAGACTTTGCCTCTCCGTACTCACCATTGGCTGCGTACGCTCCACTGCCTGCCAGCCAGCTCCAACTTGCTGTGCGCCGATTCGCAACGTGGGACCGGTTGGCGAGCCGTCACAGCGTCAAGGTGACATATCCTCCTGCGGTTCTTCTGCCGGACCGTCTCAACGAAAGCTGTCGTTCGCTCGCTTTGTTCTGCACGCTGCCAACTCCACAGCTTCTGGACTTTGTGATGATGGCATTCACAAGCCGTCAGCATGCGCTGGAAATGAATTGTGGGGCTGCTGCACCTTCGGCGTTGTCCTACTGGGCGGCACTGGTTCCGCGCGGCAGCCATGTGCGAGAATTTGCGCCCTACCTTATCCACTTATCGATTGCGATACCTATCCATCTCCACATCCATCCCATCGCGGCCTATCACATGTGTGTGGTGAGTAACTCAGTCTCGCTCTTGGGTAGCAAAAGAGTTTTCATCGTTCGCTTCTCGGCAGCATGCTCATCGAACGAATCTGACGTTCACCCGTCCTGCCCGACCGCGCGTTCTCACACAAGGACTGGGTTGTTTCTCGTGCGCAATATGAGAACCTTGATTTCGTCACCACTAAACGAGTTGCTTCTCATGATCACTTGGAAAGATATTCCGGTTCAACGGAGAAAGCCGCAGAACAGGAGTTGGCGCTACGGCACTTCTGATGCGCTGCTTCTTCAGTTCCTATGGTTCGCCGGGTTTGGCTTGAGCAAGTCTACCAAACATGGTGGACCGCCCAGGACCGAGGATTACCGCATTGTTCTAGATCGCAGAATCCTTCGCTACTACGTGCCAACACACCTGTATCGGCATCTGGGGTTACATGCACGGAAGAAGGCTCATGCGTTGACCTCTGTGCGTATCCGATGTCAAGCTTGCTTATGGTACACTAGAAGACGTCGAGATGCTTTTGCCGCGCCCGGCCTGCAATACATCGTCATCGTTCAAAGGCAGCGGCAAGTTTCTCGCCAACGGTATGCGTACCTAGAACGTATGTGTGAAGGATCAAACCCCCGGCAACAGATCACAACGTTGCCCCGGCCGATCCTGACCCGATCGACATTTCAACAAGTGATCTTCATTGCTTGTATGCACGCGATCTCGATCAACTTTGCGTTCCTCTTACACACACATCGGACTACTCGGATAGACGCTGTATACTAACAGACTACGCTAGCTGAGGTGTGGTTGTGCGACATTAGCATCTGGACAACTAGCCGAGAAAACTGCTCCAGCTTACCGATGATGAGAAGAGATTGTAGGGGTTGAGTAGCGGCAGAAATCTGTGCAGCGTGCAGGTGTGCGAAACGGCAGATGTACCGATGATGAATACGCTATCGGCTGGTAGCTGACTTGAGATTGTGTATTGAGCACTGTACGTGTGAGACTTCGATCATAATCGCAGTCCAGGGATGCATGAACGTCTCTGTTGCGGCTTTCATCTTGGGCTTATCTTCCCAGACCCATGTATTATTGCTCTCACGAGTCTATCTGACAAGAATGGCTATTTTTCGTTGGCTTCCCGTAGCGTCTTGCTCGTGTTCATACTGCATCATTCCCGGTTGCTGGCTACAAATACGCTACATCCAATGTCCATACAAGCAGAGAATCTTTCTCTTCCTGCTGGCCACAAAACTATTGGCAATAGATTCGTAAAAATTTGACGCATGAGCCAAGGCGTTCAGCTTCATGTCACACGAGGTCGTACCGAAAATTAGTATATTTCGTATCTCTTCCGCATGTCAGCTTATGGTTACACGATATCAACTCAGCTTTGCTGTTGTAAATGTGCCATTGTTAACCAAGCGAATGTATCTCTTGATCCACGGAGTTCAGTTCTCTTGCTCTTCTATGGCGCTCAAGATTAAGGGTTGCCTACTAGATAGTACATTCCCTTGTAACTGAACCCAAACACAGCATTATCAAAGCTATCGTCTCTCGTTGCCTCATCTCTGTTCGCAAAACGTCTCGTCAAGAAAATCCTCCCCGGCACCAATTCTTCACCGGGCTCTGCAGATTCCGAAGGCCTTAAGTACTCGTCATGGAACTTGACCTCATATACCTCTCTCTCCTCGTCCTCCCTCCCAGCCACCCTTCTCGCCTCTACGATTGGTAGACCGAACAGACGACCAACTATCTGCTTGTACGAGCCCATAATAAAGATCGGCGCGCAAACGAGTTTCTGCCTATCTAGAAATCCCCTCGTATCAAGGTCGGACCAGAACACGTCGTTTTCGTCTCGGACACGAGTGTTCATATCGAGAGGTAAATATTCGTCTACTGCACGCTCTCCTCGTAGTAAGTCGCGCAGGAAAAGCATACCCAAATCCTCTGCGACGGCGAGTACAAATAGCTTCTGTGCATGCTTATAAACTCGATAGGCGAGAAATGAGCGGCTGTGATCGGGGAAGTGTATCTTTTTAAGATCGGAATCGCAATCCACTACTTCTCTGATGTTTTCGTGCGTGGCAAGAGCTTTTATGGCGGCTGGGGGGAGGAAGGAGTTATCTTCGCCAAAGATGGTGAACTTTATGGTGTTTTCTTGTATGAAGTGCCGGATGAGGATGTATTGAGAGGTATAAGGTATGGTTGTAGGTATGGTGATTGACAATGCCATTGCTCTCGTGAGATTCGCAGATGAGAGCTCGAGTGACTAGACTAGTGCAATGAAGAGTGATTTGGATTCCAGTGAGAATATGAGGCAATTAGAGCTCATGATTGTTATTCACAAACTAATCACGCTCCAGCCGTCAGCAAACTTGCGTGCTCATTCACTGCCAGCGAAAAACATATCCTGGCAAGTTCTTCACGTCCGGTACATCTATGACCTCGTGTGTGGCGCCCTCGCCCCCTTCCCGATAATCTTCATCATCGTCATCGACGTCGTGGTTCGGCATCTCGCGGAAGAAATACCACCTCCCCTCACATGTAAAGCCCCATTGAAACCGTGACTTCGCCGCATCTGCCGTTTCTTCACTTCCGAAATCCTGCATTCTCCACGCCTTCAACGGTTTCTCTTCTTCTTTCTCGTAAATAAGATGTTCCTTGTGTAACGCCACGTTGTACACATCGGGTTCCCGGACGGCATCGACCACTTCCAATGGGAAGCAAGACAGATACGGAAGCACTTGATCAAATTTGCATGTATCAAGCACCGGCGCACACACCAGGGCTTGGTTGTTGAGAAGCTTGAGCATGCTCATCCGATGTGGCCCCTTAGGAATCATGGCGTATTTCTTCCGTTCCATAGGGAGGTCATCATCGCCCACATGATCCAAGAGTACGGAGAGGAACTCCAGACTAAGTCCCAGCTTGACGGTGAGTAGGAATAGTTTCTTGCCTCTTTTTTCGATAACTTCCGCGAGCCCTGGGGCATCATGAACATGGAACATCCCTTCCTTTGGGTACTCGGCCCCCTTTATGAATGCGGTGATGTATTGACGCTTGGTGAGAGTGCTCAAAGCGCTGCGCGGGAGGTAGAATATTTGTACACCTTCAAATCTGCGCTTTAGGGTGCGATCGTCGATAGCTTCGATATACGTAGTGTATATCTGCTCCTGCGCTTTTGTGGTCAATGTTCGAGCGTGGTTGGACAACATTTGAAGGTCCATGCTTTCAGTGTGCGGATGAAAGACGACTGTTGTCTTGAACCAGTGGCTGTATCTTATACTTGGCTTGGTGCTTTGTTGTTTGGTGTGATGCTGTGCCCACGTGTATGTCTTGATCACATAGTAGAGTAGGGTGACATGATCTTGAATCTTTTCTGCCAATCATGTAGCCGGTCTCAGAAGTTTGTCAAGCGCATATTTCCTCTTCGTTCATATGAACAGCGAAAATAGTACCGAGCATGCTCTACGGATGAGAAGAGGCGTGTACAACGGGCGGACGAAGTCAGAAGACCATATTGATATCCAGCGGTGATGTATGCTGGTGCTGTAGATACATGAATGGCTGCTCGGGAGGTACTTAGGTGACTGCCAGGGCACCCCATGTGCTCATTCAGCGCATTGCTCTGCCTTTGTGTAAATATTCAATCTTTCACTCCTCATCTTTTGATCAAAGTGCACTACCAACTCAAGTGTTCTCTCATTATAGTGGCACCTGGGTCCTTGTAGAGAGTGAGGAGGTGCCAAGGGCGACATTGCGATGATGTATGGCCAGTGTGTGAGCGGTGGCACCTGGGTCATGTATAGGATGTGAAAGAATGTGTGCTATAGAATTACTCCAAAGCTGCTCTTTCGATATACCCATTTGCTGGAATCGAATGCTATGTTCTCAAATAAATCCATGGAGAGCCCAGCAAAATCCACAGCAACGAATCACCGTGCTCATCCCATCGCACGCGTTGTCTGTAAGCAATATCGCTTTACGCACTCGAAAGGATTTGTATCACGACGCATGATGCATAGAACCGAGGTTTCAGGCTGGTCCTCGAAGGTCCATGACGTCAAGACCGCTAAGCTACCTACCTAGATAGGTAGTCCACCATTCTACGCGCTTGACCACGGAAGTAAACCCCAGACACTATTCATTTGGAATTCGTAAACTTTAGGGGTTAGTTTACATCGATACTGCATCACTCGGGTCATTACAGATATTTGATAGTGTGGTGGATTGCAATTAGTTTTACTATTTACTATACCCAAGGACTTGATGTCCTTAGTGGCATGAGGTTAAGCCTCGCTCTCAAACATCATGGTTCACTAAGGACTGTTCCTCAACTGGAGCTCAACCTGCGCTCTAACAGCTGCTGGCATGCTCAACAGTCAAGCGTGATTTACTTGCTGACCATCAAGGGGCATCCAGCATCCTTGAAGATGGGGTTCAACTTTCCAGCGGAGAAGTCGATCAACGCATCTGTGAGGTCGGTAACGCTGCTGACGGTACTGGGAATGAGGTTGACAGCCAGCTGGTAAAGCAGGCAAGTAAGCTGAGCAGCGGTAGCATCGCTGGGCAACTTTCCGTCGACGATGATATCGAATGGAGTAGAGAGACCGTCGAAGTTGCCCTTGCCAACGTTGCCACCGAATAGCTTGGGGTACTTGACGTACTGAGCAAGAATCTCGTTGGTGACATCCATGTTCTTGTAGGGCTCGACACGCGAGAACCAGTTCTCGGGAATGCGCTCGGGGACGTGACGCCAGCCACCTGGGGCAGAAGAGTCCTCAACGGCACCGAAGAAGGACTTCATGGTTGCGAGATCTGGGACACCCTTGTCACCGTAGCTGGGGAAGAGCTCGTAAAGGAAGGATGCGGCTCCATAAAGGAGAAGCGAGAGGGGACCGAAGTAGAAGTTGGGGTTCTCTGCGACAGAGTCGTCGTACCGGTTGCTGCGGTACTTGGCGAGGGCCTCACGATCGAACTTTCCACCGGAAGTGGTGTCGGCGACCGCCTTCATCTGCGCGAACAAAGTGCCGTTGAAGCTGTAGTTGTCTCCGTTGGCAAGGAAGAAGTCGTTGCGTGTGAGCGAAGAATCGGCCTCGAACTTGTTGTGGCCATCAAGACCGGGCTGGCTGCCCAGAAGAGGGAGTGTGGCAGTGCGAGACGTAGCATCGCATCCGATACTGAGACGTCCGGAGAGCACATCACCACCAGCTTCAATACCGAGGACAGCGAGGAGGACGGAAAGGTCGTATCCTACGTTGTAGACATTCTGCTGGGCGTCGACCAACTCCTGGAAGTTGGTAATACCATCGTGTGAAAGGAAGTTGTGCTGCCTTCAATTAGCAAATGTATAGTACTCGCAGTGGATGCTACTTACGTTGGCTGCTGCGTTCAATCCTGGGCAGGGTCCACGGATGTCGTTGGATCCAGGAGCAGTGTAGGCGTGAGCCTTGTCGCCGTCTGCTGGCACCTTGATACCACCCTTCTGGCTACCGGGAACACCGTTCTTAGCTCCAGAGTAGGTGTAAGGAGCAACGTATGGAGCAGCGCCCTTGTGAACAGGGTTGAAAGGGCAGTTGGCCTGGCGCTTGACTTCGGCGTTGCGTGCGAACAACCTGGAGTTGACACCAGGCTGGCCAGCGACCCAGCCGTAGCTCATGGCACCTGAGGCCTGGAGGAGGAGAAGAGAAAGAGTATGCATGGCGAATAGTAATCCCGAAGTGTACTGTGGTGGTTTACTCGAGATGGCCTGAGAGGATGATCTTCTTTCTGTCGTCTGAGTCTTCTACTTATAATCTTTTGCCATCATCTCCTATCCAACTTCTGTTTCTCGATCGAGAGACGTAGATCGGGACCGAGGCAACTTCCTTGCACGCTGTCAAAACCCTACATCTCCGCCAGCAAGTCTTCGATATCCGCGCACCTCGATTGGCTGAGACATTGCTTCCACCCCTGACTTCGCAGTGTGTAGTAGATGATCGACATACCCCGGAGTCGATCGGCGGCGATGTTCTGAGGTCTAGGCGGGGCAAGATAGGTAGTTAGGAGCCATTTCCGAAAGCGAGTTCGCATCTGCCATGGGACTATTGATGCGTACCTGCTTGGTAGCTCTTCATATGGCAGTGGCGTTGCACCTGGACGGAAGGTTTACGCTCCGCACGGACTAGTTCACGTCTCTTGCCCAAACTAGCTTGGTGCGTCGATCATTTCCCCAAAGAAGCTGTTTGCGCTCACAAGGTCCCATGCGGATGGATTGCGGGGAAAGCAAGTATCCAATGACGCATGGCCTATTCCCGCCAGACTGTGGTCATGTTGCATACGCTCAAGAAAAGATCGACAAGAACTACTATGATCGCAATAATACCGAGGCAGCTGTTTCAATGCCGCAAGATCTATAGGCTGAAGTAGAAGTTGCAAAGACGTAATTGACGTGGGAACGGGCGGGCATTGCCATATCAGAGGCTACATTGGCTCAACGTCTCTTCTCGTGTGCGTCGGTACGTGGAGGTTGCCGGCAAGTGCGAATCAAGTCGCCGAGAAGCCATGCGTGACGATGCTCTGAGGCCCAAGATCTGACCAAGGGGTATTCAGACCTGGTTCGAGGATTGAGTGGTAAAACAATAGCCCAAAACCTGGTAAGATCTGTTGCGCGGCGACAGACACCGATAAATTCCTCTTTTGGAATGCCTGCTCCCACAGTGTTCATAATTCTCCGAACAGGAATATCGATCAACTCACAGGCTGCAATTTCCCTCAGCCCAGTGCTGTGGACTTGATTTCGGATCCAAGAATTTCCAAGCCTTTCGAACCGATCACCAAACTCTCATCACGGTCCATTCCGTCTGATGCACGCTTGAAATGACGACCTGTCTTAGAACTTGAAGCCTGCCGAGGCAAGTTCCAGCTGTTTGCGAGAGTTGCCCCCACGCTGGAGAGAGCGTGACGAAGAGCGTATCAGGTCATGCTGAACATTTGCGTAGGTCGACGCCGTCAAGAACCGGCTCAATGGACTGAACGAGTGCAGCATGGGCTACAAGACCATGGTGTCGCACTACAACGCGTGAACCTTGAGATCTCGATGGAGTTTTGCTTGATTGAGTAGTTTACTTGCTCGGCGTGCAACTCCGTCGTCATACTCAGTCCACTTTACGATTTGGAGTAGGATGAGCGATCCAGAGTATGAAAAGTCATGCACAGCCCTGTAATGTCGATGTAGAGAATACCACGGCTCTACTAGGGTAACCATGAGGAGCCGCAGGCCATGACGGGAACGCGGAATTTCACCGTGCAGACTGCCAGAAATCTTCTCTTCCCAGGAAAGCATAATCTGACTCGCGTCCAGCCTGACGCTACGTAAAACGGGAAACCTGGGGCTGACAGCACGTGGGCGAAGATCCTTGAACGAGACATCATCCTAGAGATCCAGACAAGATTGAGTCAGGCAAAAGGCATACACACAATTTGACTTGTGTCCTGATGCCTGTTCCGCATACTTGTGATAACATGCACGAAGTAGGTTCCAGGTTCTTCATCAGATCATGGCGAGGCGTCAGGTATGTCCCCTGGTCTTCGATGTAGCTGACATGCTATTAGTCCAGGCTGAGTATCGCTCGAGTAATGATTGCACACTTACCTCTAGCCCCGTCAACAGCAACTAAGAAAACATTTGCACCTTCCAGACTTGGAATGGAGAGCCCAGGATAGCTGGGTAATGAGCAACGGTAGGTTGGAAGAAGCGCATCGGGCTTCACTGATCAGTGATCTCGATGGTCAATCCCAACCAAGAACAAGCCCCAGTCTGAGTCAAAGGCGCACTCTGTTCTTTGCATCAGACTTCACTAATCTGCTAAGCGGCCTTCTCAGCAGGCAACTTACCCTTCCACTAACAGTACTGAAAAATCAGGAAAAGCAAAGGGCTTCCAGACCGTATCAAACGCGCGCTTTGCCTGACCAGAATGGGTTGGCAATACCTAGGTAGCAGACAAAAAAAAAAGACTCAACCAAATCGGAGCTCTACACCACACCAGCACTGGCGAAAAGAGGGCCAAAAAAAGAGCGACAGTACTCTCCAGCGGGGAATTGAACCCCGGTCTCCCGCGAGTTGCCAATACTGGTGACAAGCGGAAATACTGACCACTATACTACTGAAGAAGAGTTGGTATCGCTGATACCAGTGATGGCAAACCTCAAAATCGAAACATACAAGACCACAGACGATCAAACCCACTCAAGATCATTTGTAAAGATAATCGACTACGCCTTGCAAAGAAATTGTAGTAGAGCAGCGGAATGTGGGTATCAGTGGAGACAGAAGAAACTAGCGAGCGGTGAGAGCAGCAAGCCTCGGCAAAAAGATAGATAGCAACGACAGGACTGTAGCATATCGAGAGCGCAACAAAGTCAACTCAAATTCTTTCAGGTAACGCTAAGAGTAGACGATTATATACATATCGCGATATGGAGACAAGGACGCCAGTCATGCGGATGGTATCGAGCGCCAACAATATGATGCAAGTCGACTCGATTACGCCTCCGCGCCGAGTAGGATGGTACAGTATGCGAGTGATGTGTATTGGGGGAGAGGATGTGACAGGTCCTCAGCTCCCAATGTCAGATTTGTGAGTGCGTAGCTGTACGCTTATTTGTTGACCTTTGACTCGCGGCCGATGACGGGGTTCTGACCGCTTGCGAACTTGCTGTCGGACTGAAGCAGCTCGTCGGGTTTATCTGCAAATACTTCATTTAGCCGAATTCCAAATGCAAAGAGGTTTGCACAAGCTTCCTCGTCGGAGTTTGACGTACCGTGACGAGCGTAGAGGTGGTAGTCCTCATCTGTGTACTTGCCGACGTGGCCGCTCTCGACATCCTTTCGGGTGAGCGAGAGCTTGTTCTTAGGCAGACCCATGGAGCCGAGGTAAGTGACTGAGTTCTTCCACTCAACGTCCTTACGCTTGTTGTCCCACTTTAGCTCCTCGGCCATGATGTCAATAACCTTAGGGAGAGCTTCCAGAGCAGCCTGGGCGTTCAGGAAAGCCAGGCGCATGCGGCGCGCGATTACGTCGGTGGCCGTCTGAGCATACTCGTGACGGACGCAGTAGCGGACCTCACCATCGATGTAGGGGTAGAGCTCAGCCATCTTGACGCCGCGGACAGGGAATCGCTGCTCAGTGGGCGATGCAAGAGCTGCGACGGTCCACGCACGGTCACCGTAAGCCTGGCAAAGGTATTTGGCTACGTCAGTCTCAATGCCGTAGTGCTGGATGAGGTTGATGAACAGGGTCTTGGAGAAACCGTGAGCACCAACAAGTCGAACACGGTGGGTCTGGCAGGTGCCGTCAAGAGGAGCCTCGTCCTTGACCTCAGTTCCGCTAACGAGAGTGGGGTTCACAAGCGGCTGAGTCTTCAGGCCGTACTCCTTGATCGCCTCGTCGACAGTCTCTTCTGCCATCTGGCGGTAGGTAGTCCACTTGCCACCGGAGCAAGTCATCAGGCCGGAAGGAGAGGTGGTCACCAAGTGGTTGCGGACAAGACCCTCAGTCGCGCTCGCGTTGGGGTCACGGACGAGAGGACGGATACCGGACCAGGCAGCGAGGACGTCGCCGCGGCGAACGTTGATCTCAGGCTGCAGATAGCGCTTAACCTCCTTGAGAATCCAGTCAATCTCTTCCTCGCCAGCAACAGGATCTTGCTTGATATCACAAGCAGTGTCTGTTGTACCGGCGATGGTGTTGCCCTGCCATGGCAAGAAAAAGATGACACGGCCGTCGGAAGTGTTAGGGTCAATAAGACCCATGTTTGAAGGGCTGTAGTAACCAGGGAGAATGACGTGAACACCGGAACTAGGGGCGACGATTTCCTGAACCTCTTGGTCGTCCATCTTACGGATGGAGTCGGTGAAGGGACCGGTAGCGTTGATGATACCCTTGGCCTTGATGGAGAACTGTTCAGACTTCTTGCCATCGCGCTCAGCAATGCAGTCCTTGGCCTTTGCTCCGCACAGACGACCATTGGCATCCTTCTCAAGCTCAGTGACTTCGAGATGGTTGACAACAGTTGCGCCGTACAGCGCAGCGGTCATGGCGATTGAAACGTTCATGCGGGAGTCGTTGTGTGCACCATCTGGTGACGTCAGTTTCTGCTGCAAAATGAGTGACCGTTGAACGTACCGTAGTAAACAAGGGCTCCGACAAGGCCTTCCTTCTTCAACATGGGGAACGCATCCAGAGCCTTGCTCTTTGTCATGTAGTACGAGCTCTCAATGTTCTCTGAACCAGCGAGGAAATCGTAGAATTTGGTACCGGCCCAGAAGTAGGGCGCTTGCCACCACTTCTGGATCGGAATCATGATCGGGAGCCATTGTGAAAGATGAGGCGCGGTGTCCAAGAAGTAACGACGCTCACGGAGAGCTTCAACGACGAGGGCGTATCTAAACGAAGTCAGAAATCGCATGGATAACATTCTGGGGCAACATACTGGTTGTAGTCGAGGTTCCAGACAGCCTTCTCTAGGTATCGTACACCACCGTGTACCAGCTTTGTACTCTTACTGCTAGTACCACTGCTGAAGTCGTCGCGCTCGACGAGCGCAACCTTCAGACCTCTTGTAACGGCGTCAAGCGCAATACCGGCTCCAGTTGCGCCACCACCAATGACCAACAGGTCATATGGCTCTTCCTCAGCCTTCTCAGCTGCTGCCGCTGTAGAGCCACTTCCACCAAGCCACTTCTTTGCCTTCTCGGCGACCTGCGAGACGACACCTGCGCTGCGCTTCAATTGCGCAATCTGCTCATCGCGGCTCTTGGCAGAGGGGAATGACGGTGGTCGGAAGACACCTCCCTCGCCATATGTGGGTGGTGGGACCGCGGCGGCTTCTGAGCCGGGGATATCGCGAGGTCGTAGGGTAACGTAGAGGGCGGATGCACCGACTGCTCCAGCACCAGCTGTGTAAAGCAGCGGCTTGATGAAGCGGCTTCCTCGTCGGGCAGCCATGATGCTTTATGGATGGGGTATAAGATCTGGAGATGCAGTCGCTCCAGGCGGTGTTGGTCTAATGTACAAATGCGTCGATGGAAAATGCTATAAAGATCTGCTGAGCCTGGGAGGCTTCATCGACTGTCAGCGCGCCCGCGCATCGGAGATAACGTTGGGTGTAGGCGCGGAATTCAACTCACCTCAAAAATGAGTTACAATGGCATGGCGACCATGGCGCTGTGTATAAATTATTCCGTAGGTTTAGGATGTAGGACAAATGGGCAATTGGGAGCTGCAAAATCTGATTATCATACGCTTCGGATGACGACAGGTGGAGTTCGCGGCGACTGCGGTCCACTTTCTCCTCCATAAACTCTGGCGGCTCATCTCCAGCCGATTTCCACGCGTCTGTGCATTATCACGCCGAGATAATGCGGCGGGGTCGTGCCTTGATGTCCTACCAAAGCAGCGCGTGGCATGGCAACTTTTCCTCGCGGCCGCGCATCTTCCAAACCTCCAGGCCGCTCATGTAGACAAGATAAATGCACAGAGTCGACATGCAGCTAGCTGCCACTAGGAAGAGGGCTTCCGCTCCCATCACAGATTCGGCGGGTGCGGCACACCCCCAACGCCCCAGCCCCCGGTTTGCCAAGAGCAGAGCCTCATGATGATCTCATGCTATGTGGGGACAAGCTTGACATGTGTCGGAAGCATTGACTTTTGTTGAGCATGTTGGCGACGATCCCGTCTTCTCTTGGACGCCTCACCCCTTTCACCGTACACTCAGGTATGGCTACACGAGGTATGACAGCCCTATAAACTTGTCGGTGTGTCCTGTGTCGCGGTGCTATCCGCTTCAGGTAGACTCGCGACGCATTTCCATCAAATAATGACGGTCGTCTGAAACGCTGCTCCAAGTCTTCTAACGCAAGATTGGTATCAGAGAATTCCTCCTAAGTTCCGAAATCATCCATGAGCTTTTATAAGGTGCCAGATCGTTGACGTGGAGAGTGCGCTTCTCGAAAGGTGACCGCCTGGTCGAGATCCATACCCAACGTCCGCATGATCCCTGGAGCGATCTGTGATACCCCGAAGGCCGCTCGACAATCATCAAGGAAGAGTGACCGAAGGAGAACCGGCTCATCAGGAGCATTCTATTCGGGCAGCATCGTCTCACTGCCATGGCGGATTCCGCTTGGAGAGGCCGTGTGTATTACCTCCGGCGGAATACGCAGGTTGGAATTCCGAATAATCCATCCAATGACCTGGCGCGGGGATGGGGGACTGATTATGCGAGAGTTGGGCGTGCTGTGGGCCGTTGGAAACGGTAGACCATGTTGGGCATGCCGGGCGTTGTCGTCTAGAGCCAGCTTATCGATTAGCGAGGGTCGTGATCACCCCAATCCACCTGGGCACCATCCGAGGTAACGCCTACACCTACGATAGACCGTACGCCTACGCGAAGAAGTTTGCGGATGCTGGTTGCAAGAACCAGCGCGCAGTGTGATGGTACTGGAGCTCGAGCCCGCATATCAGAACGAAACACATCACTATACCACAGCACAGCAACACCAATGTGTAACAACAGGGTATATTCCGAACCTACGTACAAATGGATAAGCGCCAGCAGCTCCATCATGTACACTTCCCTGCCCATAGCACAGCGGTAGACTTCTCAAACACCCAAACGCCTAGCTACCCAAACACAACACCACACATGCAAAGACCCTTCAAAACCATTACTCCACCCCATCCCATCATATCCTCAACACCCACAACAACAATAAAACATCCAACGCCACAACCGCAGCAGCAATACTCAGCACAGCACCCTGATGCACCGCACCCAGACGCTCCTGCCTTGTCCGCATGCTGATAACAGCGACAACGCAGAGCACCAGTGTACTAATAGTGCCTAACAGGACAGCCGCATCAACAACGCCCCTTTCCTTCTTGCGACTCGTCATCGTCATGAGACCCAAGATGAGGTCCATGACAACGGCTGCACCCAGTGCGGTAGAGTAGAAGCGCAGTTTAGTCATTTCAATCTTGTGTTGATGCGTTTCGACCTGGCCGAGCAGTGCGCGACGCTCATTGAAGAGGTCGGCATCGTGGCGTGGGTCGCGGAGGGAGCGGAAGAGTGTGCTGAAGTAGCCATCGCGGTTCGATGACTGCCCGTGGGTGTCTGTTGTTCCGTAGTTTGCGGCGTGTAGTATGGGGGATGAGTCGATCGTATCGTCATCTGAGTCTTCGGCAGCGGAGAGTGATGCCTCATCAGCCTTGTCGTTCCTGCCAAAGAGCTTCTTTGTCTTTCTTGCTAGTGCTTCGACGAAATCTTGGCCGGGGTATTTGATGGGCGCGTCAGGGTCGACGTAGATGTAGTAGCCAGTCTCCTCGTCTTCGGGGTGGTCGTACTCGTTCCAGTATCTCTGCTGCACTTCCGGCTCTGGCTCGGTCCGGCTCATTGGTGGAGGATAGTCAGAGTAGGGCTTCCGGCTCTTCTTCCGGAAAGCTTGTAGTGGTGGCGGATCGACAAACTCGTGCACTGAAGTCGCAGAGGACTCCTCATAACGAGAAGCCAGTGGGCTGGATTGTCCATCGTATGAGGTGTTGGATGTCGAAGTTGCTGGAGGCGATAGTCCAACTTGTGAGCCAGTTGCGCTCTCCCGGCCTCTGCGACTCCGCTTCTTCACCGGCTCTGGCAGTTTCCGGATATCCTTCTCGAGGAGGGAGATCCAGAAGGGGGCGGACATGGCGCTGGGTTTGCAGCAAGTCCAGACAGCATGTGCTTCTAATGAGAAACCTCGAACGCGTTCAACCTGCAATTGTTAGTATACTGATTGTGTGTAACCTTGGATATCGACGTACCAAATGACTGCGGTCAAGGGTCTGGATGAGCGCCATTGCTTGGTTGCCTTCACGCCGAATCTCTAGAACAGCATGAGGGAACTTCTTTGCTGATTCTGCTCGAGCAGCTGAAGTCCAGTCGTCATCTGCTAAATCTTTGTACAGTGTATCTTTCAGACAGATGTCTTTATCCAGTGTCGCCCATATGCCTCCCGTTGAGTTGTTGTGGAGTCCAGTGAATCGTGTGCGTTTGGAAACCGCACCAGCGATAGGCTTGGTAGATTGGTGCTCAGCAAGCCACTGTCGAACCGCCGGTGCATCGTCTTTGGCCGATCCGTTCTCAGAATGCTTCATGTTGTCCTCCTTTACGGAAGTGTCGAGAAAGCTTTGCAGACGCTTGCGCTCCATCTTGGCTGTCTTGACGGCTACCGGTGACTGCCCCTGCGCATCCGCCTCTGTGCATACAACAACCGCGGCTTCGCCAGATGCGCAACACCGCACTTGACCAGCGGCCTTTATGCCGATGCTTCCCTGTAGTTCTTCCGTCGCTCCAATCGTACTTGCGTTTTGCTTGAACGCGAAAGCTTCGGGATGGTCCAAGACAACTACCCCAGTGGTGTCTTCGCTGCCAAGGTACGGGTCGAGGTTGGTTGTGGAGGAATGGCGGCGGAGAGGCGTTCCTTTGCCCGATGCGTGCCGTCTGGCCTTGCTGACGTACAAGCGGGTATGTTGGAGCAACAGGACCTGTGCCTCGACGATATGGTCTGGATGTATCCAATACGTTGCCTTGTTGCCCTTGGACCCCAGAGGCACCGTGTTCATCACCAAGTCAAAGTCGAGATCCCCGCCCTTCTCAATGCTTCTAGATATGTGTGCCGCGGACGACTGGCCGTTGGTGTTCTCGGCATGCGACGTAGACGTGCCATCGGCATCAAAAGCGGAGCGGAGCGCGTCGAGCACATCGATGTATTGGTCCAGGAGATAGCCCAGATCCAGCTGGAACAGGCTATCCGGCCGGCTACTGATCTCCTGCTTAAACACATGACTGAGTTCCCTGTCCTTTGTCCAGCGCTTGTACTTCTTGAGGATCTTGATGAAGCCCGTCCGTTGCGTGACTTGGAAGCGGGAGAGCGACCTGATCTCCTCGCCGGTCCTGCGGTTGTGTCAGCGGGCGTTCTCTCTACGCGTGTTCCGGCGCATCCCGCGTACCTTGCGACGTCTGCGTCTATCTTCGCATATCTCTCCACGATCCGCGCGGGGAGACGCCCACTCGCCGGATTGCGTCGCGCGCGCAGCTGGTCTAGCGTCTTGCTGATATGCTCCAGCCTCCGTTCGATCTCGCCGCTCTTGCTGCGCACGAAGAGATTGATGCGGTCATGTTGTTGTGCCAAAACATTGAAGAAGGTGTCGCCGAATGCGCGCTCGGTGCTCTCGCCCTGGCCTGGGATGGATACGGCCTTGTTCGTGCCGGGCGTCGTCTGGTGCTTGATAAGGTCTTTGAGATAGTCGTAGTCGATATTATCTGTAGGCGCGTCTGTCAGCGGAACGCTCTCCGTGTCGCGCGGTAGCGTGCGGGCGTGGTACTCACAATGGCCCCATTCTGGTATGGACCTCTGTCTGAGAGTGTCGCCGTACTTCATTCCAACAAATTGATAAGTGGGGTGGTGGAAATAGGCCCAATTGGTTGCGTCGTGTGGGTTTGTTATGAATTATGAAAGCGATAAACTGGCACGGTCAGATAAGCCCTCGAGGGTTCATGATTGCACGGTCGTGCAATATACGTGCGAGCGTTGCACGTTCACACAGTCAGACAGCAATTGAGCCGTTGGACCGTTGAACCGCCGAGACAGGGCGCCAGCCGGACTACGTACCGTTGGTTTCAACTGGGTGAATCAAGATAACACCTCCGCCGTCGTCATGCCAAGATATCCGGCTTATGACGCGCTGCTAGCCGAGTATGTGAATTTTAAATGTGAGACGAGTGCGGAAACCTAGAGAGAAAGTGCCAGAGCAACATGGCGCTGTGAAGGGTGTATGTACTTATCGATCGAGCGCAGGTGTTCCTCGATAGCTTCGATCCACGCTATGATGGAACCTTGGAACCCTTCTCCGGTGCTACGCAGGCATCCTTGTACGTGCGCAAGGGCCCACATCCCATGCAGCCGGGATATCATCTCCACTCAACACTCAAGGTTATCGTATGACGGCGAGGGAACTGCTGAACGTGTTCCCTGGTGTTGAACCTCGGTTGGTGAGGTAAGCTTATCATTCTTCAAGGGTCAGCCCAGAGTGTCTACAGTACAGCCTCAACGTGTGACCAACCACTACTGATAACCTAGCATCTTCAAGGTTGATGTCTCCGTTAGAGAGCTTGTTGCTTCCCGCACGCCATAATCGATTCGAATTGAGCAAACGACATTAGCCGTCTGCCGTGTTGCAGAGAAGCATCACGATCCACAGTTCAAGGCGGCAATCGGCATGTACCGCGCAATGCCGGCACGTTGAACATCGAGACGAAGCCTCAGCTGTGGCTGCCATCACAGTTAATCTAGATCGTCAAGCAGCAGGAGGCATTGCCAGGAAAGACGACAGAATGTCACTACACCAACGCGATTGGCCAATGCAAGTATCTGGAGAAAATTGGAGAAGAAAAGCTTGCATCTAGACAAGGATAGACGTGCAGCTTAACGAACCTCCACTTGCCTGTTGCGAGACGAACCAGGGATGTTCTCTACACCACACAAGACATCTCTACATAATTGGAGCCGCGGAAGAAATTTGTCGCATGATTATTCCTTGCACACAACCTTCTCTTCAGTACGATAACAACATGTCCCCGCATCTATCTGGTCAATGAGAGACAACAGCGATGAATACTCATCAACCGTCCCCACACGATAGTACTTGCGGCCGCCGGCCACCCGTCGCAGGGACCTGGACCCATTGCCGAAGTGGAGCTTCATCATGCCCATCCCGTGGAGCCGCGGTAGTGCTGGCTGAATTGAGCGCCTCCGAGGAGCTACACGACTCTCGTCGTGCTAGACGATGGAGACGAAGTGAGTCAGACCAAACATTGTGAACTTGATATACGAGAACGAAGGATGAAGGCAGCCGTTAGTTTCGCCACTAAGTCTACCTTTTTTCAAATCACAAGTACTGAAGGAAACGAGTGGCAATCCCACATATCCAAGTACACGAATTTGACCACCGAGAGGAGGTTTCTGCAAAGAAATCCGCCAAACCAATCCATATTCTCTCAAAGGATCGATATGCATACCCGAGTTCCACGGAGCTACGGCACTTGTCCGCCACATTGGCGATGCTTGTATCAACATCTGCATGCACGTCTGCGCGTCTCCATTCCATGCTGTTAGTCCTGCGTCTTGAAAGGTCGCGTGCTCACCTGCCTATACCGGCTCCGCTATGACGAGCAGGGGTGCTGCATATGTAGGATCGCTAGAACGCCGTATATGACATCGCGCTTGCATGATCCAGACCCAGACGTTTGGAACCTGTCTGCCACTTGCGACGCGTGTGTTGCCCACGTGGGTGATCGGTGTGGTTTCCAGGGCTTGGATGTGGCATGTCGGTTCGAGTAATTGTGAGGATTCGAGGTGTTATACTGCCGGTGGTAGGGGTTGAAATCGACTCAGAATTGGGGTTTGTGGGGCGCTTCGCTTGCTTGCTTGCTTGCTTGCTTCTTGTTGCTTCATGTGAAGGACGAGTTGCTTAGATATCGGTTACATGTACGATTGGCCTTGATGATGGATCACAGGTAGACAACTTGGCGATCGCTGAAGCTGCCAATGATGATATAATAGTCTATGCATCAACAGACGTGAACGCAATGGCTCATTGCGTCGGAGAAAATCCTTGGTGCAACGGTCCCTACGTACTTGTCAGAACACGTGAGCTGTTTCCAAACAGTAAGCGATATTCGCACAGTATCATTCCAGCGCACTTCGTGGAACTACATGCACACTGAAGAATCTCAGCACTTCATCATCGCCCAAAGCTTCACACCTTCACCCCCCTCTCGTCCCCTCCCCTCCCCATCAACCTTCCCCTTCCCCACAACAATCTCCTCCAACAACTGAAACCCCAAGTGCGTATACACATCTCTACTCCTCGGTGACGTAGATTCCAAAACCACAGGCCACCCCTTCTCCCTCGCCATCTCAAGAACAGGGCGAATGAGATCACTGACTTTAGCCGGGTTTGAAGTAGAAGGGTGAGCGCGGTCGTTTGCTAAAAGGACTAGATGTAGCATGTGAGTTGCTTGGGAAGGGATGAAGCGTTTCCGGACGTGATGAGCGAGGGAGTTTAGTTCTGTTACGGCGGGTGGGTTGTGTGGTTCTTCGGTGTAGTTTTCTGTTACTTCTTCTAGTGTCCTGTATAACACATCGTTAGTGTGTTCCAACATCTACTCCTAAAACCTTTTTCTCTTTCAACTCCTCCATTTCTTGAAAGAGAAATCTCTCATGATGATATATCATGTACTTACCAAACACTAGCCACCCCACTCCCAGGAACCGTCATACACCTCGCTCCAGCCTTGATAAAATCCGGCACGATAAACGCAAAAACCTCCTTGTTCATCTCCTCTCCAATATCTGTCTTTCCAGAACCCTGCATTTCATCCAGCAGAATATAACGCTGGAAAGCGTCGGGTTCGAATTGCTTGGCGAGAATTTCGATCGTGTGGTCTAGCGTGTCTTCTATGAGACCAGCGGGAACGGGGATTTGCGACATTATGCTGTTAATGAGAGGTTCTCACGAGTTGAATGCAGGCTTCAAGAAAAGATTGTGGATGTTGTTGCAGATGGAGGTACATGGACTTTTGGCAGTATACTAGTAGTTGATGGGGTCGGTCCGAATTTTCAATGCTCCGGTCCGAAGTTCTCTACCTTATGAGCCGGCTGGGCAACGTGTATTACGGTAGGTGTTAGACGTCGCTAGCTTCATCCGACCGGTTGCTCGCTCGTACGAGGCTTCCACGGGCCCCGCAGCGGTACCTGTTCACCTGTCATACGCTGTAACATACTCGAACGACTAGATTCTGTTGTGGGGCAGGACCTGGGGTAGGCCGTGCATGACATGTATACATCACGCGTAGTACGTCTCACGTTGTGTCGAAGAAGAGGGTGTTTGGTCTCAAATGAATGAAGCGCTCCGACTTGGAATGTCGTCTTCTGCCTTGATTGAACGCCATACTATACACGTAGATTAAACGCCCGCATATGTTGACACTGAACAAACTTGGTACCGCCCGCATTTCAAGACGTTTAACCTGGAGGGAGCAGACTGTTGTCGACAACATCCTGCGCCTCCATTTCCTCCACGTCGGCACTGTTGTGTAGCGGGGAGCGCGGTAGAGCCATGAGGCCTGTGTGTGGTTAGCAACTCGACCATGCCTGGACATGCCACGGTGCTTACCAGTTCTTGCGGACTCCAGGATACCGAATGGAGCAATCAGCTTCATGAAGGAGTCAATCCTGGTAGGCTTCGCGGAAACCTCTACTATGCAGTTGTTTGTGCTAATGTCGAGCACCTTTCCACCGAATTGATGAGTCATGAAGGTAATCGCGCGAAGATGTTCGTGCTTGTGTCGGAGCGCCTGGCTGACAGGCAGGTTGGTCGGGTGGTAGTCTTTCCGCAACGACTCGCGAGCAGCCTCCTGTGCCATTGCGTTGCGCTCCTCATCCGTCATGTCTGGTTCGTATTGCTCCTCCATCTCCGGGGTCTGAGCCATTTCTCGGTGGTGCGCAAGCAGCTCTTCAAAGTACTCTGGACCAAGAATCGAGACCTTGGCGAGGAGCAATTCGCGCTGGACGAGGGGCGACTGGGTGTAGTCAAGCACAGCCCATACTGGGACCAGGTCCTCGAGCTGGCGGCGGGCTTGTTCTATGACACCATCCTGTCCTTGCAGCACAATTGTCATGCGGGAGAGATCGTCCACCTCGGTGTTGCAGACGACCAAACTGTCGATGTTGAAGCCGCGGGCAGCCAGGATACCGGATACGCGGGACAGCACACCGGGCTCGTTCTGTACCAAACAGTTGAGGATGTGGCTCTTGGGCGGAGCTTGGGATGGGAGCGGCGTTTCGTAGAGAATGTTGCTGACGGCAGCGGGCGCCGACCACGCCGGAGGACGGTCTTCGGTGGGGAGGGGCGCGATGCGACGGTGAAGGGCCTTGTAAGCCAGCGCCTGAGTCGACGAGGAGCTGGACGCTCTTTGCTGCTGGCGGAGGGAGGCGGCGCATTGCCTGTTGAGCAGACTGCGCAGCGGCAGCATTGCTCTCCGGGAAGCCATGGCGGGCAGTGGGCGCGGTGAAGGCGAGTAGGCGGGGAGTGACTGCGGATGTGGATGGGCTTCACGTCAAACTGCCCCAGAAAGTGAAATAGAATCCCCGGCCGATTGTCGGAGGAGCCACCAGGCCACGAACAGGCAGGTTCAGCCGCGGCACGCTAATAAGCGAGTCGCTCCTGCCAGCGCCTAAGATTCATCGACAAACACCAACCAACCCGAGCCTCACCCGCAACACGACAACTATCGCTACGGCCACCCGCATCATGTCTGAGGAACGCCGCCCCCGATCGCGCTTTGACAGCGACGATGCTGAGCGCCCTGTCCGCTCGCGCTTCGACTCAGATCGTCGCTCCAGGTCGCCGTCGCGGAGGGAATCCGAGTCGCATCGCGCCCGTAGCCCTATCGCCCGTGAAGGCACAGACAGCCCCGCATCGTCCAACTTCAAGAACGAGGCGGCAGCAAAGGCAGCGGCGGCGGCTGCGAGGATCAACGCGCAGATTCAGGCGAAGAAGGGCATCCAGCATGTCGACGTGCCACCGATTCGCTCTGTAAGTTCATCCATTCTTTCCAAGCATGACAAAACTAACAACCCAGGCCGCTACTCCTCCAGTCGCCAAGTCGCCCGCCTCAAACTCCGCCGCGGCCATAAACAACGAGACGTACCAGCAGGATGGTGACTACATCAAAGACATTGAGATCAATGATCTCCGTAATCGCTACACACTGACTAAAGGAGCTACACAAAAGAGGGTAAATAACTGTTTTTGCTGTCCACTGATCATGTAGGATCATGCCTTCTCCATGCTCTGCTGCGCTGCACCTGGTGCGTGTGCTGCGGGGCTGGAGTTGGTCTCTGTTTGCGCATCTCTCTTTGAGAGTCAGAGCTTACTTGATCTAGCACCCCACCCCATTTATCAAATGCTAACCTCCATGTGCCATCTAGATCAAAGACGAGACTGGCGCCGGTACGCATCCCCGATTACAACCATTAACCTTTAGAATACCTGCTTATACATGCAAGATGTCACTACTCGCGGAGAATACTACCCTGACAAGAACATGGCTACTGCTACTGTAGGTGAACACACAGGGTCTCGTCGACAAGGCTAATGGGAACAGAACCCGCCGCTGTACCTCCGCATCACTAGCACCTCCAAAGAAGGCCTGGACAAGGCTGTCGAGATGATCGAAGAGATGATGAAGGAGGACCTTCCTAACCTTGTAGACGAACGTCGTTTCCGCCGTAGAGAGCCAGAGAACTTTGAGCGCGACGAATTTGGCAGAGTATGTCGCCCTGTCTGTCATCCAACACTTTGCTAACTCTTCCCAGCGCAAGTGGCCCGAAGAGAAGATTTCCGTAGGTCTCGAGCCTATCAGCGGCTTTAACTTGCGCGCACAGGTTGTCGGTCGCGGTGGCGACAACGTCAAGTTCATCCAACAGGAGACAGGCTGCAAAGTCCAGATCAAAGGCCGCGGTTCCGGCTTCATGGAGCCAAACAGCGGACAAGAGAGCGACGAGCCCATGTACCTCCACATCGCGTTCGTATACCCCGCCATTCGTACCCTCCAATTACTGACAGATTGTAGTGGACCCCGTCCCGAGGGCGTAGCCCAAGCCAAGCAACTCTGCGACGAGCTCCTCGACAAGGTAAAGTCGGATTACCACGCTTACAAGGAACGCCCTCCACCGAACCGTTACGGCGACCGAGATGGCTATGGCGGTGGACGACCGGGATACGGCGATCGTGGCGACCGTGGAGATCGCGGTGACCGTGATGGTCGCAGCCAGAGCTACGGATACGGTGGAGGAAACGGAGGAGGCGGCGGCTACGGTGGCTACGGCGCTCAGGGTCAGAACGGTTACGGCGGCCAGGACACAATCATGTCTCCTGCTGCTGCGACGCCGACTGCTGATGCTAACAACCAAGCCTACGATGCGAATGCAGCACAAGCATGGATTGCCTACTACCAGCAGAACCCAGAGGCTGATCCTTACGCGGCCTACGGTGGATATGCAGCGTACCTCGCACTTCAGCAACAGCAGTATGCCGCATACTATGCTCAGAACGGTTATGGCCAGACGCAGTCGCCTGCTCCCGGTGCTGGCGCGGCTGCACCACCGCCGCCGCCGCCTTCAGAGCCATCCGGCTACGCTGCTCCACCGCCGCCTCCACCGGCTGCATCGCCTTCCAACTATGGCGCCGTCCCTCCACCTCCCGGTTTGTAAGTCCGAAGCAACGACTATGATTTCGCGCTTACGACAGCCTTTCAACTTGACTTGATTGATCGAAACTAGTCCGATTTGCCTTTGCATATTGACTGACGGCGGGTGTGGTGGATTGGTTCGAGGGTTTCTCTACGCTTCGGCACGTTTAGTTACAGGTACGGAGCATCGTCTCGGGCACGGTAATAGTCTGCCAATCTGGAGTTGTCACTTTAGTTAGGATACCAGTGCCATTGCTATAGCTTAAATTTAAGAATGGTACATCGCCCATCGCGTCATCTCTCAGATTACTTTGACGCGTGCTGTGATTGGGTCAGAGGGTTTCCTTCTCCGCGGTACATATGACTCGCGTGCATCTCCGCAGTCGGCTCGGTATATTCTGAAGGCACCATTTTTGACGTGCTCGCACCGCGTCGCCGCCACGGACAACCTACGAAAAGATGCGGTCGCAAATACTTCGTGCTGGTCAAGCAGCCAGCTGCAGGGTGAGTCTACACATACCATTGGCCGCTCAACATCTCTCCAAACCTCATGCGACTTCCGCAATAGTCATCGTCATCGCGCTTCTCTACTACACCTCCAAGTGACACAAAACCGCTGACATTACCTCTCCAGCCCCATCTCTCCTCCCTCAGCCAACCGCTCAGATGCCTAGCCACATCGCACTCGCCGCCGTCGGCGCGCAACGTCGACCTCGGCTCGCGCACCCCACCGTACGCCAAACTGCTCTCGCGGCTCGAAGAAGTCCGGCGCGTACTCGGTTCCTCTCGCCAATTGACTTTGGCAGAGAAGATCCTCTATTCGCATCTTGAGAGCCCCGAGGAGTCGCTGTTGAGCAATACCAATGGAGGAAGGGATATCCGGGGCCAGGCGAACCTCAAGTTGAAGCCGGATCGCGTGGCCATGCAGGATGCGAGTGCGCAGATGGCGCTGTTGCAGTTTATGAGTTGTGGGTTGCCGAGTACGGCTGTGCCTGCTAGTATACACTGTGATCATATGATCGTAGGAGAGAAGGGCGCCGACACCGACCTTCCACAATCGATAGCGGGTAACAAAGAGGTCTTCGATTTCCTCGAGTCGGCAGCAAAGAAGTACGGTATTGAGTTCTGGCCACCCGGCGCTGGCATCATCCATCAGTCTGTCCTGGAAAACTACAGTGCTCCTGGGCTCATGATCTTGGGCACGGACAGTCACTCACCGAATGCTGGAGGTCTGGGATCGATTACAATTGGTGTTGGTGGTGCCGACGCAGTGGATGCTCTGGTGGATGCGCCATGGGAGCTGAAGGCACCCAAGATCTTGGGTGTGAAGCTTACCGGAGAACTCAGCGGATGGGCCTCGCCAAAGGATGTGATCCTGAAACTGGCTGGCGAGCTGACCGTCCGGGTATGTCATTTTGAACATGGCCAAGTACTTTCCGGCTAACGCATGTGCAGGGTGGCACTGGCTTCATCATTGAGTACTTCGGACCTGGTGTACAATCTTTGAGCTGCACAGGCATGGCGACTATCTGGTAAGATCCTTACATGGTTCGACTCTTGGATAAATACTAATACAATGTAGCAACATGGGTGCTGAAGTCGGCGCAACTACCTCACTCTTCCCCTTCTCTCCTGCGCATATCCCTTACCTCCAAGCCACACACCGCGGACCGATCGCTGAAGCCGCCGCAAAGATCGCCGGATCACCAATGCAGCAGAATCTGCTACGACCTGACCCTGACGCCGCTTACGACAAAGTTATTGAGATCAACCTCTCAGAACTTGAACCACACATCAACGGACCATTTACCCCTGACCTATCAACACCTCTATCCAAGTTCAAGTCTGTAGTTGAAGAGAAGGGATGGCCACAAACATTCGGCGCGGGCCTGATTGGTAGCTGCACAAACAGCTCATACCAGGACATGACACGGTCAGAAGAGATAGTGAAGCAGGCACTGGCAGCGGGTCTCAAGCCCAAGGCAGACTTCTTCATTACACCGGGCAGTGAACAGATCCGAGCAACGTTAGAACGGGATGAAACCCTTCAAACGTTTACTGCCGCCGGTGGTACTGTACTGGCAAACGCTTGCGGGTGAGTTCCCAGGTTGTCCTGATTGATTTCAAGTACTGACAACCTCGACGTCCCTGCATTGGGCAATGGAAGCGTACCGACGACGTAAAGAAGGGCGAATCTAACGCTATCCTCACCTCCTACAACCGCAACTTCCCCGGCCGCAACGATGGCAACCGAGCTACCATGAACTTCCTCGCTTCTCCCGAACTCATTACTGCGATGTCATACTCTGGCTCTACGACCTTCAACCCAATGACCGACAGCATCCCTACACCCGACGGCAAGCCTTTCAAGTTCGCGCCGCCAAAGGGCTCGGACCTCCCTACCGCTGGTTTCGCAGACGGTAACCCAGACTTCATGCCTACGCCAGGTGTCCCCGACGCCAGCGTGGATGTCATTGTCTCGCCTACATCCACCCGTCTGGCACTCCTTGATCCTTTCCCAGCATTCCCTGGCTCAGAGTTTACGAGCCTGCGAGTACTCTACAAGGTCAAGGGACAATGCACAACGGATACCATCTCGGCTGCCGGTCCATGGCTCAAGTACAAGGGCCATCTCCCCAACATCTCTGAGAACACACTCATCGGTGCAGTCAACGCACAGACCGATGAAGTCAACGTTGCCTACGACTTTGACGGTAAGACGTCAGGTATCCCAGAACTAGCAAAGAGGTGGCGAGACCAGGGCATCGAGTGGCTAGTTGTAGCGGAGCACAACTACGGCGAAGGTTCTGCCCGTGAACACGCTGCCCTGCAACCGCGATACCTCGGTGGCCGCATTATCCTCGCCAAGTCATTCGCCCGTATCCACGAGACCAACCTCAAGAAGCAAGGTATCGTCCCTCTCACCTTCGCCAACGAAGCCGACTACGACGCTTTCGAAGCATGTGACCAGGTCGCTACACGGGGCCTGTTGGACGTGCTGAAGAGCGGTGGCAAGGGCGAAGTCGAGCTTGTCCTCAAGAAGAAGGACGGTAGCGAGAAGGTCGTCAAGACCAAGCACACACTCTCGCACGATCAATGCGGATTTGTGATGGCTGGCAGTGCGCTCAACCTTCTAGCTGCGAAAGGCAGGGAGACGAAGGAGGAGGTTACCCGGAGTGCGGAGCTGAGTGATTGAATCAATTTTGTATAAGCAGGCAAAAGTGAGCATCTACGGCGCTATTGGTGTCACGGCGCATACAGTATCCTAGCAATAGACTATTCCCAGTCAAATGAGTACGCAATGAATTACCTACAATCAAACCGACGTAAAGAATGGCGGTGTAGTTTTGATGTTGGGCCCTCCCCCACCAAGCCCAAAAAAAAGTCTGGCAAGCTTCATCCGCGCGCAACCAGACCAACCCTCTATCTATCCAAACAATCACACTGTGCATGAGTGAATAGCATCAAAAGGGAAGCAAAAAGCATCTCGGGCGGGGCTCGAACCCGCAGCCTTTGGATTAACCATGGATACAGTTAGTAGAAGTCCAACGCGCTACCATTGCGCCACCGAGACCGTCAAGCGGAAATAGAGACTTCTGGCAATTTTCAAAAACTTTGCGTTGATATACCGTACATTTCTCATGGATGTGATGGAGGGGGAGGATATGTGCTGCATGAGAGACTGACTGATTGAGGTTTGCATGTGAAAACGTTAAGGGTGCCACGTCACGGGCGCGAAGTGGGGGTGTGCAGACATGGTTTGGTTCTTTGTTTGACACCGTGTGTGGTGGGCTGAGCAACATCACCATGGGATCGAGACTGCGCTGTTATTGCCTGGCTGATTTATGTTGAGAATTCGTGCCTAATTCTCGAAAGGTACTGCTTCACATGCTTTCTGCGAAGTTGCGGTACCTCAACGAGGTGTGCCCATGCTAACAGCTCATCAGCAGCTAACCCTGCGCGCGTGTTATATATCTTCTTGTATTTGCCCCATCCATCGCATATTCATGGCCAGAGCAACGATAGAAACAGCTGACATCAAAGCCCTTCGATCTTGTCAATCATCTCCAACATAACCTCATCCGTTAGCCCCTCCCCTTCTCCATCACCGCCCTTATTCCGCTCACACACTTGCCGCAGCTGCAGACGATTCGACTCCCAGCTGATCCACGCAGCAGCCTGGAGAAAACAATCCGTGACATCGTCCAGCTTCTTGAGCGCAGAGCCCACGACTGCTGCAACTGGAAGCACATCATCTGATTCATCCTTGGCTTTCTTACGCCGTTTGGATGTTGACTGCGATAGGAGCGCTTGGCGAGTATTTTCCGCATCTGGCGCGAAACTAAAGGTTATGCTCGGTACCGTGTCTTGTGTTACCGATGCCGTGGACGCGGGTGTTGCGGTGAGCCAAGAGCGGAGTAGAGCGATTTTCACCTTCTTTTCTGCTTTGGATCGACTTAGCGTCTTTTTGGGAGTAGCCGCTTCATCTTCGTTGCTCCCGCTTGGTTTTACGGCTTCTTCGTCTCCTTCCGTAAGGCGTCCAGCAGCTCGGGTGAGCCAATACTGGCCCACGCGTTTGGGATCTGCACTGAAGACTTCGTAGAGCTTTGCTGTAGTCGGTGCTGACGCTCCCTTTTCCAGTCGTTGGGCGTATATGGTTTGTAGTACAGCCCAGAGCATGCCTTCAAGAGTGTTGACCCGCAAAGTCCACTGTTGCACCGCGCTGCCACCACCGGATCTCCATCTCTGCTTTTCGATCAAGATGATGTCTGGCGAGCCGGCCAGGATCGTGTTCTTAATCAAGCCATACGCTGTCTTGGACAAAGCATCCGCAGAGTACATATCCGACGCTTCGTCAGCACCCTCCGTGCTTTGCTTCGTAGTCTTGCCCTTTCGTGGAGATTTCTTTTCGCTCTGTATCTCGTCCCCTGGGGCTTCCGTAAGGTTGATCTTCTCCCATCTCAAAACCTTCATGTCCGCATCTAGGCTATGCTTCGATGGGTAAGATACCTCCGCCTCACAGAACGCCAGGTTCTTGATTCCCATGTCGATGCTCATAATGCGGAGCTTCTTGTTTGCAGCTCCAGATTTTGGCCATGTCGGTTGACTCTTGGAAAGATGAGATACCCCAATATCACGTCGGAACCGTTCCTGTAGTACTGCTTTTGTTCCCGAGGATGGTGCGCCGATGTGTACAAGTAGAGTTTGCAGCGCCTTGGCTGTCACGGCGCGAGGTTTGGGTGCCATTGAAGCTATCGGCTTTTTTTTGTCGGGTTTATAGTAGTCTAGGATGCAGATTGATCGACGAAAAGAAGTGCTATTGACCTAGCCCGAGCGGAGAGAAGCGCCGGAGGCATTGTGAATCGCGGCGCGTTGAAGGGACTATGTAAGAAGAGCAGTGGCAACTCAATGGACTGTAGTCATTTTATCAAACCTCAGCTTTGGTGTACGAAGACGTGGTGGCGGATAAAGTTTTTGGGGTTGAGAGTTGACGAAAAGTCAAGGTAGACACGTCCCGACTTAGCGTGGAGCACGCACGTGATGCGGTCATTGACATCACAACCCTCGAGTTCAAATAGATAGTTCATGTCAAAACATGAAACAGACGTACTTAGCTAATGTATCGTTATCATATTCTTTGCACGCATGCTATTAACTCTGCGTTAAACTCCATCCCAAGGCCTCTTCACGTCTCTTCACGGCCATAGTTCAAACCAAACCTGGAAGTCACCAAATACTTCTTTCCCTCGACTACCCTTCACAAATAAGATCGAAATCCGGAAAATCTGGATCAGGACCTATGTTCGTACTCGCAACCGCACTATTGAAGTCCTTGACCTGTGCGTTCTTCTGCGCATCGTTGCACTTGTCTACCAAGTCTGTTAGCGATCCGTCCCAATCTCTAGTGAGTAAGAGAAGAAGGATAACTTACTCTTCTGCTCATCACAATCATTAACACTCAACCCCCCATCCTGCCTCTTCTTCCCCTTCTTCCCCCTACCTCCACCCCCACCATTACTATTCGCAGTGTTACTGCACCCTTGAAACTGATTATCGCAACTTCTCTGCGCCGCAGAATCGAAACTGGTGAATGTGTCCCCATCGACCTGGAATGGTCGTTCTTTGTCGCCTGAATTTGTAATGGGTGATGCACGCGTTCCGCCGAGGTTGCCGTCAAAGGTTTGCAGATCGGATACTTGTCGCAGGAAGAGGGTGTGGCGAGGGACTAGTGACATCTCCCAATCGGAGGAGACTAGGGCGGGCTGTGGAGAGGCATGCGATAGGGCGGGGAGGGCGAGATGGATTAGAGCTAGGAGGGCTGTAGGAAGGAACATGGCTGTGTAGGGACGACTTGTCGACAGAGACGTTTGTCGGTGTTGGAAGGTGCCGAACGTGAATGATGCCGGGCGTAATCCTTATTAGTATGAAAGTTGCCGGTATGGAATGATTTTGCCGGGCGTGAAAGGTGTCGGTATGGAAAGACGTGTCGTGCGTGAAAGATGCCGGGCGTGAAAAGTGCCGGTATACAAAGATTTGTCGGGCGTGAAAGCTCCTGCCGTGCGTGAAAGCTCTTGCCGCGTGTGGAAGTTTGCCGGGCGTGAATCTTGCCGGTGCTGAAAGATGCGGGTATGATAAGATTTTGCCGTGCGTGAAAGATGTCGGTGTAGTAAGATCTGACGGGCGTGAATCGTTGCCGCTGCTGAATATATATGCCGTGCGTGAAAGACGAAAAGTGACGTGCGTGAATCAACCTCGTGCGTAAAACCTCAATACCACAATCGCCAATATCCTCCGAACGTATGTAGGCACAGCCTTTGAAAATAATCGACTCAATCGCACCAAACGAATGTAAATATCGCAATCTCTCCAGAGAGCAAAAGACGCAAATCCCCGTTCCAAACACCCACCCGGGGCCAACCGCATCTAAGTATAACCCACTGCCCCCAACGCCAAACGCCTCCACATGGCGTGGAAGCGCCGAACATGCATTATCTCACGCCAAACGAGTTTGGGGCCCAGCGGTCACAAAGCTTGTTTGGGCAAGTCGACACGTTGGTTGCTTGCGACGGTGCTGAAACACGATCCTTGACTCGACCCCTGGCAACGCATAAACATGTGCACGCTGCACACGTAAGGACGAGGCGGGCAGAAGAACGGCCTTGTTCGAGTGTGAGGGAGAAAAGGAGAGCATGAAGATGGTGATGTAATAGAAGGAATCGGACAGTAGACAATTTTTGCCTATGTTGATTTCGATATTTCGCGCTATGGATTGGGGTATGACTATGCTAAAACAAACAAGAAAGACAATGACGCTCTATTACAACTGACGTAAAACAGGTGTAACGATGCAAAGCGCAACGTACACAGACAGGATAATGGGGAGTGAGCGGACGAAAGTGGTTGTTGTGGTGCCTCTTCTTCAACGTGATGGTATACGTCTAAATCTACACCGTGCGCAGTCCTTGCGGGACTGACTGACCACGATGGTGACGGTATACACGAATCTAACATCGCGGAATCAGCGCCTGGAATGCAAACTCACAGAGAGGCCATCCGTGCATTAAAGCCGCGATTGCACATATATACATCCTCCGCCGTGCTGTCGTCTCTCAAAATCGCTTCTAGCTCAGACAAATTCCGCAGATAGTCGTTGGTATCGTAATGGGCCCTCATGGGCCTATGTACTTTAGTCGGGCTGCGCTTCGCCTAGAAGTTGGCAGCTGCGTTGGGGCGTCCTCCTGGGTTGTGGTACTGCTCCAGGTTCGACTGGAAGGGCGATGAACCGGTGCCGTTCTGAGGCTTGTCGCCGAGGGCTGAGCCAGTGCCGGCCATGAGGTCGTCGTCGTCTTCGTGAACACGTGCTTGGCGCTTCTTCATGCGCCAGAAGACGAGGGCGATGCCGCCGAGGAGGAGGGCACCGCCTACGCCACCGACAACACCCCCGATAACCTTCTTGTTGGAGTCACTGATGCCACCGCCGTTGTCGCTGTCACCTGCTTGTGCGGTGGGCGGGTCGGTGACGACGGCTTCACCGGTGGAAGAGACGGAAGTGCTGGTGCCTGTCGAGGTCGCTTTGGTTACTCTGCCATCGCTCAGGGTTGTGTCGAGAGTCGTGGTATACTCGAACACCGAGGTGGAGAAGAGAGCGGAAGTCCTGACAATCGCGGTCGTTCGTACGGAAGAGCTGCCATCTTCGGTGGCCGTTGGTGAGTTAGCGGCGCCGCCACCTCCACCAGTGCGACTCGTGCCCGCCGCGGTTGTTGAAGCGTCGTTGTTGTTATTATTATTGTTGTTGTTGTTGCCGCCATCGGAAGTGGGTGCGGCAGCGGTAGTCGAAGGTGCGGGAGCGTCGGATGTGGGATCGTTGGACGGCGGTGGGTTGTTGGTGGTTGAGGGTTCTGGCTCGGGAGTCGCGGATGTTGCTGGAGGTGCGGCCGACGACGTGGCAGGTGGTGCGGCGGAGGACGCTGGAGGTGCTGCTGAGGATGGCGCGGGCGTGGCGGATGGTGATGAGCCGCCAGTGCCTTCGGCGTCTTGCCTCTTGCCCTGGTGGAGGTACTGGTTGATGCCGTCCATGTGTAGATCCTCGAGGGTAAAGGCCGACGATGCGACAGTCAAGACAAAAACGGAGAGCCAGGCCTTGGGCAACATGGTGGGCGGTTGTTGTTGGTAGCAGGAGGGCTGGCAGCGTTTTTACGATGGAGCTGACTGACGCGCGTTTCACGAACAGCCAAGGTTATATTAAGGGCGATACAGGTGAATCTCGTCGCCTATGAGCTATGTGGATGGATCAAACGAGTGAACAGGTAGAGACAAGAGAATAGTGTAGCGAATGTTAGCCGGAAGCCAGTGAAGGTGCCAGGTGATCAAGAGGGAGACCTCAGGAAAGGGTTTAGGCCCGGCCTCACTCTCTTCCTTGCGAGGCACCTGGGCATAGTCACGTGAGACGTTATTTTAAACCCTCACCCCGGTCCAGACCCTTCACAGGGGCGGCTTCGCACTAGCACTGGCCATACAAAACGGTGGTCAGTCACAGTCATTGACTCAATCTGGCTTCGAAGGTTTTGCATAACCAACCATGGGTTGACGTTGCACAGTGAGCATTCGTACCTAGGTACGCAGGTAACGAAGGCTTTCTGCCCTCGTTACGTATCTGGCCAGCGTATACTGTATCACGGTACTTCAACGCGCCCTCAAACGCACTGCACCAGTTGTTGAAGTACAGACGCTGTTTATAAAAAGCGCCCGACCCTCACTGCCCTGCATATGCGCCCCAAAGGCTTGACAGCTCGAACAAAAATTCTGTCCCTCAACAGAAACACCAGGGAGATTTGCACACAGATGACCCGAGAGACTAGTAGTCTTTTACCACCCTACTAGCCAACCTCTGCTTTTTTAGTCCGACATCCCGCTGCATTGTTCGACGCGCATCGTACCTTAGCAAAACCTCCCTTCCCATTCGTCCAACCGCCAATCTTTACAACTTTTGCTGCTTCTAAATCCGTTGCTGCAGCGGCCCCATTTCGCGGCTCCCTCGGCTGGACAAGCTAGTTACGGCATTCTCTCCGTCTTGGACGTGCGTCATCAAGCCCTGCGATTTCTTTGCATGCCCTTGTACGGAGTAACAGAAGCAAGAAATCATTATTACCTGTAGCCGCACGCGCTGTGTGGGCTGCACCCTTACCCGTCCAACCCCCGTTGTCCGTCATCACGCAACGCAACCATGCTCGCAGCTGTCATGTCGCACAGCGTGTCGCTGACAACTCACGAGGCGCTTTCCGGTGTCTTCGGCTCAATCTCGCTGGCTTCGTGGATCTTTCTGTTGGTGAGTAAACAACTTGATACGACGACGTTGTTGTTCTTCATTTCCTATGCTTTCGCGGACGTACAGGGACCTTGACACGTCGTCCTGCAATGTTCATGTATCTCTGATACCACCTGCGCTATTCATAGAACCGCGACTGGAGCTGCAGCACGCGACATCATCTGGGCATACATCACCAAATCGCATCCTAACACACCGCGCAGGTCCCGCAACTAATCGAAAACTACAAGTCATCCTCCGCTGATGGCATCTCCCTCGCCTTCCTCGTCGTCTGGTTCGTCGGCGATATAACGAACCTTGCTGGCGCCCTCTGGGCCGGTCTCGTACCTACCGTCATCGCCCTCGCAATCTACTTCTGTTTCGCAGACCTCGTCCTCATCTCGCAATGCGTATACTACAACATGAAGAACTCGCGCCGCGGCGAGCGCAAAACCTCCGTGCAGTCTACAAACAGCGTTGAGGCGCCCCTGCTTGGCAGACGCGATAGCAGTAATGTCGGTCTTCCGGGAAGCCACAGGCGCGATTCTGCAGCTAGTCGCAGGCGGCGCGCGAGTTCCCTGCCTACGATTCCTGATGTAGGCGATGGCGCGAGCGAGTGGGTGAAGAATGCGCTGAGCATCGTGGGTGTATGTGTTGTTGGTGCTGCAGGCTGGGCTATCGCGTGGAAGACTGGTGTGTGGGTTCCGCAGCCTCAGCATAATACGGAAGACACCACGGATAACCCTGTTGGTGCCATGATCTTGGGATACGCGAGCGCGGTGGCTTATCTTGGAGCGCGCATTCCACAGATCATTAAGAACCAGAGGGAGAAGTCCTGCGAAGGCTTGTCGCTGCTCTTCTTCATGTTGAGTCTTTTGGGCAATGCTACGTATGGCGCAGGAGTAAGTCACATCTACATTTTGCTGGGAATTAACGGCGACTGACATCTCACAGATCATTTTCCACTCGCAAGAGAAGGAGTACATACTCACCAACCTCCCCTGGCTCATTGGCTCCCTCGGCACAATGGTCGAAGACATAACCATCTTCATCCAATTCCGCGTGTTCGGCAACGGCGAGGCATCTTCAGCCCTCGAGGCGTGATGCGCTCAGCTGTGTTTATAAAAATGATCTGTATTGGATACGTCTGGCGTTTTGAAATCTACCGCAGAGCGACGGTATGATCTGCTCCAAAAGTTTGTGTGTATGTATTTGTATCACTGGCCTACGATACCCAGTCGAAAAAAAGATGAACGTATGTTTGGGCGCCGGCGGCGAGGTAATGTTGTATTATGAGAATAGATTTGGCATATTGATCTTGAAACTTAATATCAACCTGCCCTAGTGCGCACCACCCTTGTTCATGGCCCCCGAAAGCGACTCGTATCTGTGAAGCACTTGGAGATGGAGACGAGGGTGCCCCGTCAATCCAGATGACTGGGAGTCCTGCAGTGACAACGAGGAGCCTGCCAACGACGAACAGAAGACTGTCAAGGAGGAGGATGTCAAAGAGCACAAGAGGAAAATCGATGATGGCGACGAGTCCACCGACGACGAGCCTGCTTGGGCACGAGGTCTGCCCAGCAAAGATGCTAAGTAGAGGAAGGAATACGATCAATACCACAAGATGCTCCTCTCACCTATCCCCCTCCGCTGCTGCCACCGCCGCCTTTACTAGTAAGAAGAGAAGGCGACATCATACTCTACTCCTGCAGACACTCGGAATCCCGCTGGTGAGAATGGCAGAGAGACAAGGAAGCAGGGCATTTGGGTGTGTGTGAGTGAAGCCTGTTCTTGCTGGCATGAGCCCAACACTGTACTCACAGACCACCTTGTCTCATGGCTTTCGCACGACATGTGCGCAGCCTCTATTGAAACCTATGACTCGATAGAACGAGTTGCATGTATGACAGAAGTATTGATAACCCACCTGTTTGGCGTCTACTCGTTCCACACCATGAGACACAACTACTTCTTCGAAAAGTCAGCACATGCATCATGCTTTACGATCATCAATTTCACGCAACATGGTGCATTAGTGTGCTAAAGACCGAACCCTTTGACAGATTTCCCGTGGGGTATGTCTCCCCGTAAGCAGTCTATAAGCGCCATAAGAGACCTGAGAATGAGATCCGTAGTTTCTACCGTACCAGCCTTGCCAAATCAATCATACCGAGACAGGAATCTACTTGGCATGAGCGTACTTCTGCTCGTGAACGCCAATGGCACTATACCGAATTAGCTTCTTGTCTTAATGATAACTCAAAAGGAAGTCTTACCGTCCAGAAGGATCCGTCTGGTTGCTCCATGTGGGCGTCCATCGCATGACGGTGTCGGCGCAGTAGCTGGGGAAGTGCTCGTCGAACATACACCTGTACCAGTACGCCTCCTTGGTATCCGGGATGTCGTTGCCCCACTCCGGCTTCGGGTTCTTCATCATCTCATCGGTAACGTGGAGCTCAGCGGTGTCCTTGAGCGCGTCAATCCATCCGTAGCCTACACCGTCAGAGAACTGTTCCTTCTGTCTCCAGAGGATCTTCTCAGGGAGGTAGGGCTGAGTTTCTGGCTCGTCGGTGGTATCGAAGGCCTTGCGCAGAATGTACTTCTCGATGCGGCCGGCTTCGCGGTCAATGAGCTTGTCGGCAGGATCGATGTTCATGGCTGTGTTGAGGAAGTCCTTGTCCAGGAAAGGCACACGCGCCTCAACCCCCCATGCGGATGTTGACTTGTTGGCGCGAAGGCAGTCGGCAAGATGGAGGTTCTTGACACGGCGAATACATTCTTGGTGGAAAGCGGCCTTGTCAGGCGCGTTGTGGAAGTAGAGGTATCCACCGAAGATCTCGTCACTTCCTTCTCCTGAGAGCACCATCTTGACTCCCATAGCCTTGATCTTTCTGCTCAACAAGAACATGGGTGTTGAGGCACGAATGGTCGTTACGTCGAAGGTCTCGAGATGGAAGATGACATCTGTGAGCGCGTTGAGGCCGTCTTCGATGGTGAAGGTAAAGGTGTGGTGCTTGGTTCCCAGGAAGTTGGCTACCTCCTGCGCAGCGATGGCATCGGGTGCGTTGGGCAGACCAATTGAGAAGGAGTTGAGCTGTCCCAGAAGGAGATCTGTCTGAAGCTCGTTGGAGTCATCGATACCCACCAGTTGGTTCTGTTGTTCGCTGGCGTTGCCAGAGGACGCCGCGGCCTTCTTCCTTGTGAGCTCGTTCAAGCGCAGGGTTTCACGTTGCGCGATTGAAGCGACCAGACTCGAGTCAAGACCACCAGAGAGAAGTACACCAAAGGGAACTTCCGCCATCATGCGTTTCCGCACTGATCGCTCAAACGATGCCCTCAATTCCTTGTAGTTTACGGGTTGTGTAGGGATGTTCTCGGGCTCGACCAGCCACTTGGGGTCGTAGTATCGCGTGAGCGAATCCGTCTTCGAGTCGTAGACGTGCCCGGGAGGGAAGGAGATGATGTTGTCGCAGACGGGGTGTAAGCATTTCAGCTCGGAAGCGAAGAAAACCGCGCCTGGTGCTGTGCTGGATCGGCCCATGTAGAAGGTGGTGATACCGATCGGGTCGCGTGCTGCGATGACACGATCTTGAGCCTTGTCGTGAAGGACCCAAGAGAACATGCCGTCGAGTTTCCGGGGAGCATCGATGTCATGTTCGAGATACTGCCATGCGTCAGCCTCTATCCCATACAAGAAGTGTGCCCAATATTACCAGAGGAATGATAACCTCGCAATCTGAGTGTGTCTTGAAGTTGTACGGGTTCTTGAGGGACTTGCGGAGGATTCGGTGGTTGTAGATCTCGCCGTTGACGGCCAGGGAAACGGTTCCCTCATCGTTGACGA